GGGGGGTGAACAAAGGCCTCCTGTAGCAAATCGATGTGTTTTGTAATATCCATATTCAAAACGTAATAATCACTTGAATCTAGCTTGCGCTCACTGTTGTAAACGGAAGCAGTTCCGGGGGAATGACGTATGAGGTCAGCTTTGCGCATGCGCCGCTCAGAAGTGCTCAGAAGTACAAAACGAGGATTTGTAAAGAAGAATGTCGGAGGATTTCGATATAAGCCAAGAGGAGACTTGTTTTCCTTTGCTAAAGTAAGGAAATTTTGCTTCTTTTGATCCTGTAAACAAACGTTGGTTTTCACGAGACTCACCGGCGCATGCGCAAAGCTGACCTCATATGTCATTCCCCCAGAACTGCTTCTGTGTACAACTGCTGGCGCAAGCTAGATTGAAGTGATTATTTTTCTTACAAAAACGTATCGATTTGCTACAGGAGGCCTTTGTTCACCCCCCGGAGCCGTGTGAGACACTTTTTGTTATGGCAAGTTGCTTTTTATTTCACGTCTTTTGAACCGAAGCACTGCAACACCCGCTGAGTACAACGATAGAGCTTGAAAGATCAAAGACAATTTTTTATATAACTCTGACTAGATTCGTCTGAAAGAAGAAAGTCATATACACCTAGGATACATCAGGGGTGAGTAAAAAACAGCCTAATTTTCATTTTCGGGTGAACTAACCCTTTAAAGCTAACATTTTCAAATAACAATCACGATCCCGGACAGTGAGTGACATTACATATTAAGATAAAATCTAATTTTCTCCAGTCATTTTTAAAAAATAAGCAAACAAATCCTGCTAGCTAGCGTTAGTGAAACAGTTAGGGAAATCTTTCTGCCTCCACCTAAGCTCCACCCATAAAAAAGGTCACAATGTTTACTAACTGAAAAGGGGTCTATAACCGTGGAACACATATATTCTATATACTGTATTCCAATAATATATTTACATTTATTTATTTATTTATTTTTAAGGTTAGAATTTTGAATGAAAAATCAAAAGGATAAAGAGGACCAACAATTGTGGAGGCCTCTGTACAGTATTTAAACATGATTGTGTCTATGCTTTTTTTCCCCAGAAATGCATGTTGTTGTGCAAGGGGTGGTTGTATGGACTATCAATGGAGGGACAGAAAGCTCTTAGATTTAATTATAAAGATCTTAATTTGTATTCTGAACAAGGACTTGCGAGTTTGGAACGATATAAGGGAGAGTAATTGATGACATCATTTAAATTTTTGGGTGAACTAACCTTTTAACTGGAGTGTTCAAAGCCATTGTTAAAGGGGTCATATGATGCTGCTAAAAAGAACAGTATTTGGTGTATTTGGTGTAATGAAATGTGTTTATGCAGTTTAAGGTTAAAAAAACACATTATTTTCCACACACTGTACATTATTGTTTCTCCTCTATGCCCCGCCTTCTGAAACGCGTCGATTTTTACAAAGATCATCGGTCTGAAAAAGCGAGGTGTGCTGTGATTGGCCAGCTATCCAGTGCGTTGTGATTGGCCGAATACCTCAAGCATGTGACGGAAATGTTACGCCCCTTGCCATATTATGATGAAGCCCTGTCAGGCCGGAGCGATGATTCAAAAACATGAAAACGCATTATAAACGAGGCATTCGTTGCATCCAGTGGGGACATAATTATGGATTATAATGACTTATACTGTCTTTTTACGCATTGCATCGCACCGTGTAAACATAAAACCATGTCTGCATTTGTGATCTGAGAAACGACAAACAACAAGCACTACTCTATGCTGCCTAAAAAACTTGCTTTAAATATATATAAAATATAAAAACTCTTTAAGTATAAAAGACGTACTTACAGTCTTTGAGTCAGAACAGCCGGCATTGCAGTCTACTCTTCCAGGAAACAGTCCTCCATAAAATGTGCTGCACACATC